GGAGGACAGTGCAGCCCAGCAGCTGCAGGCAATTGGCACTGGCTGCTCCCAGGGCCACTGCAGCCGGGGCTGGGCGAGTGTTTCTCTGTTCCCTTTGCTTTGCTGCCTTGTACAGCCTTGGGAGTGGCACCCCTTCCCCGCCCCTTCCCTAGTCCCAGCCTCCCTCCCTCCCCGCCATGGGAACCTATCCCTATTTGTTACATTGTAAAGTGGATTCACTTTATGCAAATTTGATTTATGCGCCGTTATCTGGGAATGCATGTACAGCATAAATCAAGGCAAGCCTATACTAACAAGGGTGCATGAACTAATGGATGTTAGTCTGGAAATAACTGAGCATCTAATCTACATGCAATGGGGCACCAATGCAAAAAAAACCTGAAGTGATATATTTGCTATCATAGACAGCTGCAGAGTAAGAAAACAGAGATGTGTTTGGCTAAAGGAGCAAAAGACTGACAGTACGGCTGAAGGAGAGAAAGGGTACGGCACAATGAGAAAGGAAGGAAAAAGAGGAAACAGTGACATTGTTTAAAAAATAACATAAAGATGGAGGGAAATATAACCAAGGAGAAAAGAAAGACACAATGCAATGGCAGAGAAAAGGAACAAATATAAGCTTCAAAAAATTCTGAAAATGTATCTTAGACTTATTCTGAAACCCACCGCTGTAATATCCAAAATAAATAAAATGACTATAATAAATCATCAAGGGCCTGATCCCGACCCCCCTGGAGTAAATAGGGAAATGGTCATCGACTTAAATGATTTTTGGATCAGACCTCAGATTTTTTATGTAGCCAAGGCTGAGGCAGAAATTTCCCTCTGTTCAGACCCAGGCAACCTGCCTCAGTCCCCAACTCTTAATACTCTTTTGTACTTAAACAAAATTCTCTCTCTAGGTCCTACCCAGCTTCTACAGCTTTGAAAGCTGAGGTTTTTAGACAACCTAAGGGAGTGAGGAACCCAGATTCAATAGGCATTGGGCACTTAATTCCCTCTAATGCCTTTGAAAACCCCAGCCTAAGCACAGCAGCATGTCTGTCAAAAGGACCCGTCAGAAAAGCGTTGGTCTCTTGCTCCATCAGTTCCTCATTTGCATTTTCCACGGTAACATTTTCATGCTTGGATTGCATTTCTTCACTCACTGGTTTGCCACAATCCTCCAGAGGCTGGTGAAAATGGCAAGAATAGCCGTCCCTAGAAATGACATTTCTGCCACGTCTGTTTTGGAAACTGTTATGTGATAACAACAGGTCAATGCGTTCCTCCATTTACCTGGAACGGGGAAATCGTTGGTTCTACCAGAGGCGTGGTGTACGGGGGGACCAAGGACCCTGGCCCCCCTCAGGAAGAGGGCTGTCACCTGAAATGCATAAAACTTTCCACATGTCCTTCATCATAGCCCTCCTCCCCTGCCATGGCAAAAATAAAAGTCAGTGCCTATGGGTCCCACTAATTGTCCTACAATGTCATTACTTCGCTACATCTGTCTATGGTGATTTCAAATTATTTCTATTGTTTTGATATTCGGGTCCTGATTTAGCAAGTTGCTTATGCACGGGACTAACTTTATACATATGAGAAGCCAACCAGGGGCAAATCCAGAGGGGGTGCAGTGGCACAGCTGCATCCCTCTTTTGGACTGGACTGGACTTGACTGGACTGCTGGAGTCTCCAAGGGACTTTAAAAGATCTCCTCTTCCATCCTGTGCTCACAGACATGTCTCCTCCCCTGCCCTTCCTCCATCCCCCATCTGCCATGGCTGCTTTCCCTGCTCTCCTCAGGGTGGGGCAATCTTCAGAGCTGCTCCTGCCCATTCTAGCAGAGTGGGTTCAGCCAGGGCATCAACAGTGGCAGCGGCTTTCCTCATCTGCTCATGGGGGACCAAGCACTGTGGGGGAACCCACCCCTCCCCATTGCCACTGCCACTGTTCCCAGCTCCTGCACAGCTCTGCTGGAGCAGGCAGGAGCAGCTTTGAAGCTTTCCCCACCCCCAGGGGACAGTGGGGAAAGCAGCAGTGACTGAAGAAGGAGAAGACAGAAGGGGAGAGGAGAGGACGTGTCACCAACGGAGGAGAAGATGGGGATGCCCACCAGCTTTAAAAGCTTTAACAAGTTCCCAAAGGCTCTTACAGTGCAGTCTGCCTGCACCGATGGGTTGGGAGCAGAAGACTGAGAGCAGGGTTGCAGCCACCCTTGCAGCACACGTGTCTGCTCCCACAACCTCCTTTGCCAAATCCTGGATCTGGTCCTACAGCCAGCTGTGTTACCTGGGTCCACCTACTTAAGGATTTTCTAAATTGGAGCCAGATCATAGTACTTTAACCCCGTGGTTCTCAACCTTTTTAGACTCAAGGCTCCCATTGGAAAATGTCAGTTTTTACCTTGCATTCAATAATAGAGCAATTCTTCTTTTTCAAAGAACTCAGAAAGACCACAGCAGGTCAGAACATGGGATTCTTGTTTGAAGCCCATGTTCAAGAGATACTAACACTAGGGATATTCCCCCCAGCAGGAGAAGGTGAAAACCAACTATATTCCCTCCAGAGCTCAGTCTGTAGCGCACGGTTTTCTGTAGGAAGGTCTGGTAGCTCCAGATGCAGTCACTGAGTATCAGGGCTAATATATTCTCTAACCATTGTCACCCTCAGCATGTAGAAATACAGCTTAGGATGGGACAAGCTGAGTTTTTCTATATTTATCTCTTACCTTTAGCTATTGTCATTAGGTTCTTAAACTAAGCATAACATGAGGAAGAACATGAGAAGAGGAAGACAGAGTTATCCTTAGGCACCAGCAAGTTACACTCAGTCTGGAGACACCTAGCATGCTGTGAGTGATGTGTTTCCCTTCAGGGCTGTGATGGAAATACAATCAGTGCTAATCTCTTTAGGGCACTGCATAACTTTGACCTGAGTCCTTGCTGGTTTTCAGCCTAGAGGAGAGGGTTTCAAGCATCCTGGTTATGACAGGAGGAAAGGTGGCCATCTTTGGGTTGGAAGATAGTTACTTTTGGGCACATCTACACAAGATGCTGCTGTGCAGTGGTTACTCCGCGTTTATTTAGTCTTTGTATAATCAAGTATTAAATAAAAGCACAGTAATCAGAATTACTGTGTGGTAGTGCCAACAAACTTCTTTTTAATGATGCTACTACATAGTAATAATACAGTAATAACACAATAATAACAGTAATAATACTGTCCATGCTGTGACATGCTACTGAGCAGTATTATTCGACTACTGTGCAGTCAGCATCTCATGTAGACACAGCCTTTATGTTCTTTGTCCCCTTGAAAATTAGAAGTGCATCTAAAAAACACCCTACAGCTCATCAGACATATTAAAGAATCTAGAGTATCACAGTGGTTTCTTGCTCAGAGACTGATGATGTATCAGCAGCACTGAAGCGGGCTGCATGGAGATCGTTGGTACAGGAAGCACCAGTAGTATTGATGTGACGGCTGGTGTTGAGTGCAATGAAGATATTATAACCGGCATACGTCCAAGCCCCTAACTCAAAGTCCTATTATACTATATCCTAGCTGCAGGTAAACAGTGCCTAACTTGGTAGCCTTTGGCCACTACTTTGCTAAACTTTGCTACATTCGTGTCCTGTGCACCATGAAAGCCTGAGATCATCCCTTACCAAGACCCCAGGCTGAGTCCTTTGTTCTGGTCATGATTTCCATTCCTCCATTCTCGCCAGGGATTTCTAGGCCCTCTGTCTGTCCATGGCCTGATACTGAAAATATCCAATACATTCCATTCTAAATCAATGGCTTCTTTGTATGAAACATTTTCAAAGCCACATCACTGGAAATGTCTCTATATGACAGCTCTCCCTGCTGGACTTCATTCTGATCTCACACCAGGTTCACCATGGTGAGACTCCAGTCATCCTGATGGAGTTATTCTCATGGTAGGCATAACATTAGGGAAAGCATGAGAAAGAACCTGAGAAGAAGGCATAGCAGAATTGTCATTAGGCACAAGCAAGTTCGACTCAGGAGATTTATAGCTCTGCAAAGGAGAGCAAAAGCAAAACCAACCCCATTGTCCTTTTCACACCTTGCACAATACTTTAGGTTAAATTAAAGCCAGCAAATTGCACAAAATCTGGGTCAGGTGCTCAGTATTATGGCTACATTTTCTAGAGTTGGAGTTGAACCAAATATATACCCTGAACTTCGGAAAATTTGGGCCTGGCTCTTAACTTTGCAGTTGGGCCCATCTCTAATAGCTTTGAATTTATGCTTTCAAGGTAATGCAGCCGATGGCTTCAGGTTCCACCTCTTGTAAATGAGACTGATGGGCAGCGGGACAGGAGATCATGTAGGATGCATGGACCATAGCTTATCTACTGTCTAACCATTTTCTGTTGCTGTGATTATGAAACCAAGGTCACTCAACCTAGCACTCCATTCTCAGTTTCGCACAATGAGAGGAAAAAAACAGTTTTGTAAGGGAAGCAAGCCCCAGCAAGTGAACCAAACCTCCCTTCCCCTTCTGCTGTCAGGTTTTTGTACAGGGAGGTGATAAGAACTGATCGTTGTGGTGGACGTTCGGTCAAGGAACCAAGGTAGAAATCAAACGTAAGTATATCCTGATTTCTCTGTTTTCACGGTCTACTCTGCTTTTAAATCCATATTCGGGAACGCTGAAATTTTCAAGCAAATTGGAAGGAGTGTTAGACACTGTAAGTGAAACATGTTGTGAAATGATTCCAAATGCAATAGGAAAAGGTGCATGTGAGGAAAGTAGGACTTTGCATTTTATTTTGGACTGGAAAAACTACTCGGTAAAGATGAAAAATGGTCTGGTAAGGCCTTCAGCAGGTTTAAATAAGCATAGTCCTCTCCATTGTCAAATATTGAGGCGCCGATGTACTTAACGAGTCTCTGGGCCAGTATTTCTATGCAACACATGCAGTAACGGCCCTTGTTTAGGGGAAGTGAGGTTTTTGTAAAAGAGCCGGGTAGAAGGGAAGCACTGTGGTACAATTTCGGCAAGGGGACCCGGGTAGAGATCAAACGTAAGTACACTTTTTCACTGCTCTTCATTATTGTTTGCCACATTTGATCATTTTTGTGTTTGTTCTGTGTGTTATTGCAATTGATGTGATGGCAGTGCTAAAAGAGTTCTTGGAGGAAGGTGATGCAAGTAAAATGTAGAGTATAAACCAGTACATAAGGGTAGAAACACCACCATCTCCTCGGGTGGATTTTTAGAGCTACCTTGTTATATCGGAGGTAAATGAATCCACCTAGCCAAGTGGGACTCACTTAGTTGCACAGTAAATAAGTTTTTGAATGAGAGGAAGTTCATAGGCAACCACTGTGGTACACTTTCGGCAAGGGGACCCGAGTAGAAATCAAACGTAAGTACCTTTCTTCCCTGCTCTTCATACTTGCTTGTCGCATTTGTCCATTTTTGTGAGTTTTGGGTGTTTTGGTGTAATTGGTGGAATGAAAACAAAAGAATTACTGGAGAGGAGAAGGGTAAGGAAAGTGAAATGTGTAATATAAATCAATCTTCAAGGACAGAAAATATTGTCACCTCCTCAGGCAAAATTTGTAAAGCTAAATTGCTACATTTGAGGCAAATTAATCTACCTATCCAAGGGGGCTCATTTAGTTGCACAGAAAATAGGTTTCTGTATGAGAGGAAGTTCATAGGCAACCACTGTGGTTCACTTTCGGCGGGGGGACCAAGGTGGAGATAAAACGTAAGTGCATTTTTAAACTCTCTTCAGCTTCTCTCTATCAAATTTGTCCATTTCCATGACTTCTTTGTGAGGTGGTACTTCTTGAAATGAGAGCACTGAGAGGATGGCAGGCAATGTAGATACATAAGGAATATATCTGTCCTCAGAGGTGGACAACTACCTCCACTGACCACTATAGAATTTGGATTAAACTATTACATATTATATAAATGATACCTGAGGGATCCCTTAGTTGTACAACAGAAAGGTTTCTGAATGAGAGAAAGTTCATAGGCAACCACTGTGGATCACTTTTGGCACGGGGACCAAGCTGGAGATAAAACGTAAGTGCATTTTTTAACTCTCTTCAGCTTCTCTCTATCAAATTTGTCCATTTCCAAAATTATTTTGTGTGTCAGGACTGAATGAAATAGGAGCGCTGGCAGGATGGCAGACAGTGTAAGTTTGTACAAAGTATATCCACCTTCAGACGTGGAAAATACCGCCACTTCTCTTGCGAGAATTTGGATTAAACTATTATATTTGACATACAATATGTTTGAGCTCTCCTGTAGTTATACAGTAAAAAGGTTTCTGTTAAAGAGGAAGGTCATAGTTAGTCACTGTGGCTCACTTTCGGCAAAGGGACCAAGTTGGAGATAAAACGTAAGTGCTTTTTATTTGCGATAAATCCTCTCTCGCTTTGATTTTATCTAATTTAATGCACAGATATAGAAAAATGCTGTTCTTCCCTTTGTCCCTTTCTTTGCCCACCTGCCCCACTTCCAATAACTAGCAGTAAAACTCTAACCTTTAATTATGAGAAAAACAGCTAACTGGAAATGTTTGTAGAAAAGGGTAATTTTATTAAAAAATGAGAATATGATGCCTGAGTTGTTGGATAGTGAGTGTGTCAATCCTGGGTCTTCATCTGAGGATGCTGACACTATTAGTAACAATTCAGTTCTTGCCTCTAGTGTGTACATTTTCAGTGAAAGAAAAACCAACATTATTAACTAGGTCTTGATCTAGCACCAAATCAAGTCAATGGAAATTCTTCCAATGAGTTCACAAGAATAGGATCAGTCCATACAGGATTATTTGTGTTTATTTCAGCATTTTAATAGTACATCCCATTAAGGGAAATTAGAAATTGCTTTTAAAATAATGTAAGTGGAGTGCCGAGATGCCAAAGTGATTAGCATACTAAAAACGAATTTAACAGGCAAGACAGAACTCGATTGATAAAGTAGATCAGATGAGGTAGAAGCTGTCAAATATCAAGTTTAAGAAAAGCAAAATACTAAAACCCTCCCTAATGAACAGACAAGCATTCATTTTAAAATACTAATTTTCCTGTAATAAACTAAGTTAATTGTAAAACATCATCACAAGCAGGCTATCAGGAGGAAAATGTAAGCTACTCGGCAGTTAAAGTATGGCAGAGTCTGGCTGAATCGTCTTCATTTAACAGCAAAACAGAGTAGATTGGAAATGCAATATATTTCATTGCATTTTGTCACAGGAGAAATCTGATATCTGCCCTAAAAATTCTGCTAATAGAAAAATGTGATGGGCTCATATATTTAAAACTTTTACTTTATTGGTTATCTTAGGCAAGACTTTTGCGGTTTTAATTACAATTAAAGCTGTACTTATTTTGAGCTGTTCTGGCGAACATTAAGAAAAAACTGTTCTCTTGTTACTTTGATAATACTGTTGTAGGTGATCATCCAAAATGATTTTTTTTCTTTTAAAATGACTGCTTCCAAATATTTGTAAATGCCTTTTAGTCCATATATTATTTTTATCAGAAAATGTTGGCAAATCTGTTTTAGCTTCATATGTCATATAGATGTGATTGCCTATTTTATATAGTGTATAAATATAGAGAGAGAATGTGATTCTCCTCTTTGACTGGTGTCAGTCGCCCCACTTTACCTCTGACGTTTGTGAAGTTATATTAATTTGGCATTGGTTAAAGGAAGAAATTAGGTCTACAAGCTATAAAAAGGTAGTGTATTTGCTAAATTAGGGGTCATGCATATTTTGTATGTAAAAAGTTTTATTTCTGGTAGCATAAGACACTTAAAAAAATCTGAATGCTGATTCTGTGAGAATGTAGCACTTCGACCCAACTACAATTAGACTGTAGAGCAGAAGAGTAGGAGGATGAATGAACTTAGGGAACTAAAATAGTTTTATTCCAGTTTTCGAAGATGTGATCTCTCTATTCCTTTCTTCAGCTCTTTACTGAGTTAGGACCCAAACTTGCAAGATTTGTTCAGGCAAAACTGCCTCCAAAATCAGTGGGGGTCTTGTCTGGATAAGGTCTTCAGGGCCAGGTCCTTACTCCCCAAGAGTCTTGCTATGGGTGCACTCAGCTAGATTTCTTCCCAGGGACATCATTGTCCCAAGATCACAATTTGGCTCATGGAGTGATTACGTGGCATAAAGTGAGGTACAACAATACTCGAAGCAGCTAGACTAAGTGTTACCACCTCCTCAGTTGACATCTGTCCCTGATTGCAGACTGCTTCATTTTGCTATTTTTAAATAACAGGTTTTATGTCTTAATATGAGTGCTTCAGTAGGAGAAATGTTAATAAAACACTAAGGGTCTGAACCTGATTCTCCCCTTCCTTCCCCCAGCATAGTTTGGGAGTAACAGCCAATATCACTGAATCCCACTGGTGAGGAGGGAGGAGGACTGGTCTCTAATTTTAAAAGCACCAAGCGCTTGCCTCTCCAATTGACTTCAGTTGGAGGGAAGTGTGCTCAGCACCCCTGGAAAGAGACTTTAAGGAATAGCACAGCTCAGGGGGCAGGCAGCACGTCTGGAGTGAAATCCTGTCCCAGTGATGTCAATGGCAAAACTCATATTGACTTCAACGGGCCAAGATGTCACTCTTTGGTCACTAGAGTTCAATGAAGCGCTCAGTGGAAAGGGGCATTTGTGTTGCAATGTGCATGGCATCCGTTAGCACCCGTCTGGCAGTCTCAGGAGAGTGACTGGCAGTTGAATTTGAAGTACTGTCTTTCCTTCCTAAAGGCATCCTCTAGCTCAGAACAGAGAAACTGCTTGGGGGGAGATGGGGGGACGTGCACTGGCGTTGCTTTCTGAACTGTTTCTTGTCCATGTATAAATGAAACGCCAGCATCCAGGGGTTTCCTGCTGGCATCTCTCAGTGGCGCCCCTTCCAGGCATTGCAGGACCCTTAAAGATGAGCGAGCTGGTACCTTTTATCAGGACTAGGTTCATTAACTTCCTCTCATGCAGTGCCAATAAAATCACAGTGGATATTATGGCACTGGATATTATGGGGCAGATCCTCAGCCATATAACATGATGCAGGCTGGGAAGCTAGGGTGATTTATACTGCCTGAGGCTCTGGTCCTGTATTTATCTACAACAGAAATGATATATTGGGTGGTCTAAATTGATATATTGGGTGGTCTGCATTGATTTTTGGGTGGTCTACAGAGGGCGACTCCCTCTGTAGCCTCTTGTGGGATCTGCCATTGACTTGCTCCGTCTTTGGGCAGGTCTCTTCATCTTTTTGTGCCCTTGTCTCCCCTTATCGAAAATGGAAATAAATAGGGGTATTTTGAAGGTGAATTAGTTGATGGACTGCATCTGTCTGGTCTCAGTGACTCATCAAGGAACTAATCCTATAAACAGAGCAAGAAGGATTTGACCTCATGTGTCTGAAGTGTGGCAGGCACAGCATTATGGTCTATTCATGCATGGGCTGTCATCACTAACACCACGCTATGTACTTCCCTTTTCTACAGGCAGAGAAGATGCTTCACCTAAGGTATCCATCTTTCCCCCGTCGGCTGAGCAGCTTAAAGGGGGAAGAGCCACCGTGGTGTGCCTGGTCTCTGGCTTCTATCCAAGTGATGCGGGCATGAGCTGGAAGGTGGACGGCACCTCCACTAGCACCGGTGTCCTCACCAGCACGGTGCAACAGGATGCCGCTGACAACACGTACAGCAAGAGCAGCACCCTGACGATCCCGGCATCCGAGTACAACTCTCACAACGTCTACACCTGTGAGGTGACACACAAAACCTTGAAGGAACCTCTTACGAAGAGTTTCAAGAGGACCGAGTGTACGCAGTAGGAGGGCAGCAGGGGAGGGTCCCTGCTTCCTTCTGGCAGCCTTTCTTATGCTTTCTTTATGAAACTATCCTTCTTTTCCATTTGTTTCCATCCCAGTATATGATGATGGAGATCTTCATGACCTCCCGTCCTTCCTCGCCCCTTGCTAATTATACCATATAACTGGGCCACCCTGCCTCCTCTCGCCCTACAGCCTAACACTGTTTCCTGCTCTTATCATGTGTCAAGTATGAAAAATTCATAAATAAATGGAATGAGTGAAAAGTCATCTGTTTTCTCACTGTGTTTTTAATGTGATGATCAAAATAAAGTGAACTCAGGTGAAGTACATGAACTGAGTGTCATGCAGTTTACTATGGGGAGCTGGGGTAGGGGTACAGGATGAGTCACTGGCCTCCACTGAAGGGACACTAATATCCCATGGCACTTTTCAGGCAACAGTTGCAGGGAGGAGGATCTTTGCCCAACATGTCCCCCCCTCCAGTTTGCAGTCTGTTCTGCAGCCTTTTCCCTATGTTGACAGTTCCACTGACCTCATTGGATTGGTTCACATGTGTAGGGACTGCAGGACTAGTCTGGATCCACCAGAATACAAGGAGCTGTGGGATATTATTATTCAGACCACTGCATCAGAGTACCCTAGGTGTCAAGCAGTTTTTGGCCATATCCTGCCAGATCTGCCAGCTTACTCTTACGTTACATACAAAGGGTCTGATTTCAACCTCACTCACACTAATATACAACCTGAGCAAATCCACCAGAGTCAGGGGGACTTGTAGGTCTCTCAGCATCCGTGAAAATCAAGTCCTTTTACTCAGCAGAGGCTTAAATGTGGATTTAATCATCTTAGTGCAACGTGCTACATTTAAAAACGCTGTCTGCACTGTGGTTTCTAAGGAAAGATCAATGTAACGTGAGTTCAGTGAAAAATATAACCACATTATTATGAAACATATAAGGGGTTAATCCCTTTTGGTGAAAAAAAAGTTATCATCTAATAATAATAAAAATAAATCCAAGGGTTGGAGGCCTTCCTACCCCATTCAGTGACTCATACCTAGAGATTAAAGGCATCCAAAGACCTTGTGCTGGCTGCCTGTATAGGAGTGAATGTTACCCACTGAAAGCTTTGATGCCGGCTCTATAGGATCAGTTATAGAAGCAGATGCTATGTTCTCCATTAGTCCCCAGCTATTTGAAAAACAACTCTAGATCCTGCCTTTTTACTCTGAATTTCTGATATTGTACATGGATTTAACATTAAGGACTGCTTCCTGGTGTTTTAAACAGGTCAGGCTTCATCAAGTCTGGGTTTCTGAAAGACGCTTCAGGTATCCAAACCCCCTGATGTTCAGTGGAAGTTGCTCATGCTCCTAACTCCCTGCAATGAAAAATGCAGCTTTGCTGCTAAAGCAAGGCACTAGGAATCAATATACTGAAAGCACTAGTGATGCACTCCCTAGCCTCATGCAGACACAAAGGAAAAACGTGCAATATTTAGGTGCATCCATGTCTAAATGCCTATCTTGAGACCATGGGGGCCTCATTTCTCTAAGGTGCTGAGCTGACTAGCTCTGACTCCATTGGGAGCTAAAGATGCTTCATAGTGGCGACCCCATCATTAAGGCACCTAAACTGAGTGCCTACGGTACAAATGTTGGCCTTATTCTCTCTGGGTACATCTACATGAGACACTTATTGCACAGAAGACTAATTCGACTGCACATTAGGGAGGCAGGCAAAGCCTGTGTTAATGTGTTAATGCGCAGTAGATTTAGTCTAATGCACAGTAGCATCACAAAAAACCTGTTCATCTGTCCTAGTGCACAGTAGCACCACTTACAGTGCATTAAGTTAGTACCTGTCATTAAACTTAATGCACCATAATTATAGTGCATTAATAAACACATCAACATGCCCTCTGTTCCTCAATTTCCCCCTCAGTGGGCATGTCTACATGTGCATTAATGTGCCATAATTACAGTGCATTAAGTTGAGTACCTGCAATAACAGGTACTAGCTTAATGTGCGGTAATTGATGCTGCTGCACATTAGTGTCAGCGTGAGTCTTTTAAGTGATGCTAATTAGCACGGCTTTCACCGTGACACGCTAATGCATAGTAGAATTAGTCCACTGCGCTTTTAGCATCTCGTGTAGATGCTCCCTATAAAAAGAAAATTATAATCCCTATGTCTTTCATACAGGGACAAGTATCTTGAGCCTTAATTGATTAAGGCCAGATTCTGATCTGCTGTCCCCTTATTCACACACTGAATAGCACCTCACTTCACAAGTAGGCTCACTGAAAATTTTGAGGCTACCGCAGAGCAGAGCAAGGTGAACTTCTTCATGAGAAAGGGACCTTGGCCTTAATGCTTCAGAAGTCCTTTGAAGTCCTTGGCCTCTGGTGCTACATGGGCACATATTCAAACCCTATAGGCATCACCCTCTCTCCTCCAGATGATGAGAGGGGTTGGCTTTCCTCCACAGCATGGGGATGATCCTTTTCCTATGATCTTCTGGGTGCATAGTACCTAATTACTTCTCTGTTCCAGTGCAGGACTTTGGACATACCCTCATCTCCCCTGCTTATACCTGTGGCTCTTAGTGTTTCAAATATTGTTGCTTGTGGTTGTAAGTGAGGATTTACAGGTGTGTTTGGGGGATTCCTTAGGTCAGTGATTCTCAACCAGGGCACAGCAGGATCCTTTAAAAGGTGTCACAAGGTGTGAGGAAATAAGCAGGGTGTGAGGAGATAAGCAGATAAGACTTGTCCCTGCCCGGCCAGTCTCCCACCCCCACTGCCCAGCCCCTCTGCCAAGAGATAAGCACTGTAATGTAGAAATTAGTTTTTGAAACTGGTGCCACTCAATTCACAAAAGGCATGGAGGGGTGCTGCAAGCCCAGTGAGGGGGGCCTCAAGTGCAAAAAGGTTGAGTATCACTGTCTTAGGTGAGCGACTGGCTGTGAATGCCAGCACCTGGACTCAAAGGCCCAGAAGGCTCCTGCCAGTCCTATATGCCTAACTCTGAACAACAGCAACAGACCACAGGTTTCCCCATTAAAAAGCTTTGAGCACTTAAGGATATTATAGTGCATCTTTGTCAGTTCTTGCAGAGGCCAGAATCCCCCATGTCCCCTGGTATCCTTGGGATTTGCATTTAGGACTATATTAGGGGTAAGAATTACACCCGTGCAGCAGCTTCCATGTTTATGTGGCACTGCAGCTCCTATTTTGCTGGCTAATGTGAAATGTAAGTGCTGAGTAAACACTACTGCTGCCCTCTGCCCGCTGCACGTTTCACTTGGAATGAGCAGGCAAGGGAATCTCTGGAGAGGGTCATGGGGCTCCATAGAAAGCTTTGCAAAACAGGTTGTACCTATCCTTGAAAAATACTTTATTTGGGTGATAAGCAGAAAACTCTACAGACTTCAGGTGGTGATATTTGGGTCATGTCCTCCTCTACCTCCCATTGGAGCAGAAGAAGAGCTCAAGGGATGTCACCAAACCAACAGAGAAGTCCTGAGGATCCCAAGCATCCCTGGAGGCCTTGTGCATTCCTGACTACCTGGCTGGTTTAAGGCAAGCTAGAGACCTGCACCTTGCAAAAATATACCCCTTATACCATCACCATCTTATAGGGCCATTGCACCCACACCTAAGGAGACTTCATGCTCATAATGGTGGGCTGGAGCTAGGATATTATTATGTGATTCCCAGAACCAGGATCTGAGGCCAAGCACTAATATCCAACCCAGCCAATATTTGCAAATTCATGCCTCTGCTCATGTCAGGACTTCTTACCCATGGCTAGCTTGTATGAACCCATCTTCCAAAGGACCTGCAGGTACAGAGGTGGAACATGATGAATTTAGTGGAGTAATTCCTCTGGATTTCCATGTAAAATTAAATAGCAAATGATCTCCCTTACCTATAATGCTTTATTATCAAGGACCACAGCCTGTAACGTGCTTCATTGGTTCACCTCTGCAAAACAGATTTGCAATATATTGGGCTGTAATCAGTGAAGTGCAAAGAAACAAACAGCTGTGGATATTTGTAGTGTTGCCTACTGGTAAGAACAGGAGGATACCAGTTAAGACTCCCTGCCCAAGGTCTCAGAGCAAGCTGGCACAGAGTCAGCTATAGAACTCATTTCTCTAAATCCCGGAGTCCATGTTCTCACAATCACTGCTCATTTGGGATCTATACTTGTTATGGCAAAAATCCTATTGACATCAGTGATGCAGGACCAGAGCATCAAGCCAAACCATTATTATTTTTGCCGTTGCATCAACTAAAGAAAATTAAGGTCACTCCTTTCCAAACCAAACCCAAGCAATCGGACACTAGGATACGATCTGCAGAGCGATCACAGAGTGCTGGTCCTTCGCAGCCACTAGAGAGGACTTGAAGGCTGTCCTCAGGGACAGTCATAAAGGTTGGATGGTGCTGTGGGAGGCCAGATTACAACCTGCATGATGGCTGTGGGTGTCTCTCCCTCGCACTACACAATCAAAAGCCCTCTTGTTCCTCCAACATGCAGAACGAGTACAGCAGTCTCTTTAGGTGCTCCTTACTGTTGCAATTCCATCCTTTCTCTGGGGGGTCTTTGGATCATTAGCACCACACAGTTGTGGATTCCAGTCCCAGCCTCCTAAAATGAGCCCTGTCCTATTCACAGCTAGCAGAATAGAGGAGTTACAGAAACTCTTCTGCACAGCCATTCCACCCATACCCTTCCCTCAGCAACATTACACGGTCTGGAGATCTTTACATAGGTATAAAAACATAGGGGGTGTTTATACACATGCTCTGGGAGGTGGGAGGCATGGAACGAGCTTTAGTAAAAGCACCCCTGCCACCATTTTTCAGCGCAGGGATGCTGACATTTGTGATGCTGGAGTCTACTAAAGTGCGATAATCGCCACGCTCCAACAGACTCAATTAATCTGACGCATTGTAATTACAGCGCATCAGAGCAGCCTCGATGTACATGTATAGGCACCCAAGAAGTTCCAGACTGGGTCAGACCAAAGGTCCTTTTATCCCAGCACCCTGCCTCTCTCAGTGGTGGGCCTAGGCCTGTGCTTCTCTGGGCAGATACACCTCTCTCTCCCATGGTAGCAAAGAGTGGTTATGAAGGACAAGGATATTTATGCAGAGCCTGTCCTGACTGATCTATCCCCTGCTCCTTCCCCCTACAGCTTCCAGCATTCAAAGCCTAAAAAGTCTTAATTTTGAGGTTGTCCCCCTATTACATATGATCATGTTTACTACCCACTGCTAAAGCTATCCTGCATAAATTTATCCAATCCCCTCTCGAACCGGA